AAAGGATTGAGTTCGTGATAATAATTGATCAGCAGTGTTTTTGCATACTATAACTTTGGAATAATATTAATCATATTGCATATTATAAATTGGGCGTAAAAAAAGCGACTAAGAATTATGGATATAATGTAGTATATATATATATATATATATATATATATATATATATATATATTTTTGTTCTCTTGGAACTATATTTATAGGATACTTTCTAGGATCTGATTGTTCCTAATTTCCGATATAATTGAAACAGTTCTTATTTAGAGACAGTTTATCATGTTTTTCTTCACAGATGCATATTTACATTCGCTATGGGTTACCTCGTTTTTCTACATTGGTATCGTTGGTATGTATTGACTGCTTACTATCTCGATATTACCGGTCCAATGATGGTTAGTTGTTTGTTTGCTTGTTTTACCGTTATCACTGTTGTTAGAAATGTGGGGAGTTTCAGAGTCATCAAAGAATGATTGTTTCTTTTATAAATGCTTTTTTCAGATCACAAATCTTATAGATTATGTACATTTGTTAGGAAAAAAGATGCATAATAGATTTCCATTCGGATATGCATTCTTCTCTGTTTTTTAGATACTCGTTCAAAAAATCACGATGCTTGCCTTTAATTTGCACGACGGGAAAGTAAAGAGAAGTGAGGAGTTAAATGATATGCAGAAAAAAGAAGCCCTTAAGTAAGTACTGAATTTTGCTTTTAGCTTATTTTCATTTTTATCACTTTTTGAAGACCAATTTTAGATTGACCTCGTGTACAACTGCGCCATTCTTAAAGAAAACATTCCGATTTTTCATTATTTATTTCAGCTCAGTACCTGATATATTGAGCTTTCTGAGTTATATGTTTCATTTTCAAGCAGTATTAACAGGACCAGCTTGCTTTTACACCGACTATATGGCATGGATTAATGGAACAGCGGCTATTGGTAAGGATGGGAAGGTTAGTAATGTTTAACTTTATTTTATGTTGAAAGTGGTAATGTCGATCATTCAATATATGCTAAGGTCAGAAATATTCAGAAAAATAAGTCTTGAATACTTGGTATCCATCTAGTAATTTATTTTAGATGAAAATATAATCACAGAGTGAAATAATGTCTGGAAATGAGAGTTCATTAACAAAAGCTATGTCCTAGTTCCATGCAGTAAAGCGACCTTTCATTGGATTTTTTATTTAACTGACTAAATTTTATTGCATACTGCTGCAATCAAAGAATTTAGAGAAATAACATTTTAGATCAATTTATAACTTCTTAATTAATTTGTAGATTGAGAAGCCATGGCATGTAGTATTAATCAAATTATTGCAAGCAGGGGTGTTTATGTTATTATATGTTTTTCTTGGTGATCGTTTTACTCCTGACATTATCATTGATAAGAAATATATGAATCTGAATTGGATTCAGTGGATATTTGTATTGTACATTGTAATGGCATTTCAACGTGTGCCATATTATGTTGCGTGGACTTTAGGTTAAATTTCTTTGCTACACTTTTTTTTTTCTTATGGTGTTTCTGTATGAATTGTAGGAGTCATGGAGTTTGTCATCAGTTTAATATTATCGCTGTCCTTTATGTTCCTTTACTACAGTCCAATTCCTCTCGTTTGATGAATAATGAAGGCTAAAAAAGAAATTTTTATTATTTTTGCTATTTAAAAATAGCTGTGGAAATTTTCAGCTGATGCAATATTTAATTTAAGTGGATTCGGGTTTAAAGGTTATGATTCAGACGGGAAACCTCAATGGGATTTAGTTTCCAACGTCAAGCCATGGAAAGTGGAGGTATCATTTTGATATTTCTTAGTTGTTGAACTACATATTCGTTGCATTGAGAACTGTTTTTCTATCTAAAAACTAAGCTGTTAATAACTTCCAGACAGCGTTAAATTTCAAAGAAACATTAGAGGCATGGAATTGTTGTACGATGTACTGGCTGCGACGTGTTGCATATGATCGTGTTCCAAAAGGGTATGTATGCTTTTTGTAAATATTCAGGAAAACTTTTCTTTGTTGTGTATTCATCATTGTACACTTTGCTAAAGTTTTTCAGGTATCGAACTTTATCGACGTATTTATTATCAGCAGTTTGGCATGGCTTCTTTTTGGGTTACTATGTCACTTTCTTGACTGGAGCTCTGTTCACTGTTTCTGCACGAACGGTATTTTCACATTTTAATTTCATGTTAGCATGCATAAAATTCAAGTTAAACTTATGATAATATGATTACTGTTATAGATTAAACAGCAAAACTTAGTTTGAAAAAGTGGATGGACTGAAGAAAAATATTTATTGGAGTTTTATACATGGGCCAGTATTCCATGTATTCAATGTTTTTCTTCTTTAAATTCAGATACGTCGTTGTTTACGTTGGCGTTTCCAAAGAAATGAATTTCTGCGACGTTTATATGACTTGCTTACATTGGTTGTAACCAAAATTGTTCTCTCGTATGCAACATTTCCATTTGTTATGATGCATGTCGGTCCTGGTTTATATTTTTACAGGTATTATTTAAATTTTTCAGTAAAATTTGGAAAATTACTAAATATCCTCTACTGTACAGTTCATTTTGATTTACGAACCTATAAAAACTTAAAGTACAAAACCAAAAGTAATTTTATCGTATTAGGGTAAAAAATACTCATATTTTTTTGCATCTTGCACTGTTTGTTTACTAAAGTTCAATTTTCAGTCGCATGTATTTCTGCTTGCATATAGTTGCTTTTCTTGCCTTGTTTGTCCTGCCACGAGTAATGCCTCCAGAATCAAAATCAGTTCAAAGCAAAAATGATTGTGATACGAAAAAATTATCATAATTGTTGAAGTTAGTATCTCGGCAACACTTTTTAGGAGTCTGCAAAATTTTCTGCATAAAATTTACTGTAATAAGAAATAATGACCACATTTCAATAATATATAAGGTATTGTTTTTTTTTTTTTTTTTTTTTTTTTTTTTAATTAGTACCAGTGCTATGGTAAATTCCTGTTACAGAAACAAAATATAAATATTTTCAATATACTGTTTAATTTTATAATGTTGTATTGTTCAGTTTGGAGCTCTCTTTTCCTAACTTTGTATTCTTTTACATAAAAATATACATTTGTGGTTTTTAACCATTCAATTTTCGCTGTTTTTCTTTTTTACTGTTGAGCTCTCTGTGTGAATTCTTTGGTTCCTTCATTTGTTTTTTATGTTCGAGATTTGTTTTTCATATATTTCGTATCATTTGTTTTTCTCATATTGCAGGGAAAGCTTGTAGTTTTGCTTAAAATGTATTGCTGTTGATATAATTATTTTTTATATGCTCAGTTTTTCCTTTTTTCTTCCGTTTTATTAAATTTCATATCTAGTCTTCTCAGTGTCATTTTTTCTTCATAACAGGCGTGTATCGACTCATTTCTCAGATGTCTAATTTCCGCTTTATTTTTACTTAATTTTTTTCTTCAGCCAATACTAAATTTTTGTGGCACTGTTCCTAAAATTTCTCTACTTTTGTCGTTGTTGGAGAGCCACTCCTTTCAGTTCTTCTTGAATTTACAATGGCGCACAGATTTTCATTCGTTGTTTACATTTCAATGCTCTTAGTAGGATGCCATTCTTATTGTTTTGCTGTTTTTAGTTGTTCCCTTTTCTTTGTTGTTTTATAGAAGATAAAATGAGAAAATTTCTTACAACAAGACCTTTCGCATCTTTTGATTTTTGTACCAATAGCGTTTAAGATGCAGCCGAAATTGGGGTTACTAGAAAAAGGGTACAATCCCTGATTTATAATGATCGAACTTCTAATTAATTTTAATATCAAAGATTTCCAGCGCCGTAACGTGGATAATATCCTTTTTTTTCATTCGTTTTTTTTTTTTTTTTTTCTTTTTCCTCGTGGTTAGAAATATTTAAGTGTTATACTTTTACACTTCATTTTTGACAGATTCCTGATATACTAATAAAGTTGCTATTAATAAAAAATGAGCACTACTGGGATTTTATCTTGCTGTTTGGATGATGTCACCGTAAGCTCATTGCCAGTAATTCATTAATCATCAATAAGCATATCTCTTAGATCAATTTTTTTAGAATTTTCAAAACAGTCTCCTTCAGGCCGTATTTCTGTTTTATCCTTATGTTTTGCCATAATGAATCCTAATTGTTCCTTGGAGAGATTACTTTCTATTACTTATTATTCTATTTTGGTTTATCTTATCTACCATATCTTTCAAAAAGCCTACTCACTGCCATTTTTAAATTATTCCTACTTATCTAACGATAGATATATCGTTGATTCAGATTGGCTGATCGGATTAACAGTTGGTAATATCTTCTTGGTTAGCTTGTTAATTACCTTCAGATACTTTTGATATTACCTTGTCTTGAGGTTATTATTCAATTCACTGAATGTAGTGAATCATAATTTTCAAGTTTGTGAGGTTATTTAGAGGAATTTTTTGCACTCAGAACTTCAGTTATATTAAATTTCTCTGTGAGACTAAGAACGGTATAATGACCATTGATTAGTCACAATGTATAATGTGATTATTTTGATATGGATGGGCATTTGCGTAGTTCTATCTTTCTCTCTCTTTCACTACAGGAAGTGGAATTTTCGGATTTTATATTAATAATATGACATTTGGATGCGATATATGTCATAAAAACTACATCATTCTTGGGATAAGTTTGTACGATGAATAAGAATATCACTCTTTACTAAATATTCTGAAAGTCTGATTTCCAATCTTATCCATTTTTCTGTAATTATTACGAAATAATATATAAATCGTTTCCTTATGAATCTTTCAAAACATTATTCTATACATACATTTTCTCACATGTATCTATTGTTAGAGCTTTTTAATGTGCAAATATGTATAATTGGATTGTGCAAGTTGCTGAAATTAATAAATTCATTATATGTGTGAGTTCTTTGATTTGTCAGTAATAATTTTCATTTCAGAAATTGTCAGTAATTATTTAGTTTACTATTAATTAATAATGCCCGGTGTCCATACATTTTACGATGGTTCAATTCTCTTACAACCAGTAGCAAATTCATTAGGCATTGGAATTGATAAAGTAAGCATTGTTTCAATTTTAATTGTTTTTTATCTAGATTTTTTTATTAACGATCGTTATGGTTCGTTTTATTGTGTATTGTTGTTTTTATAGTTTTTTTTTTTTTTTTTTTAATTCATTATTGTAGATTTAAAATTTTAGGACTGCGCTATTTTTCTCTCTTCTTTAGCGTCTCAAAATTCCGATATTTGTAGTTTTACTTTCAGTAAGAGTGCTGACTGGTAATTAATTTATGCCCATTTTCTCCGTCATACGTTAACGATCCATTCAGCGTGAATTATCTTCTGTCAAATTATTTGTAGGGTAAAAGTTTACCTAATAATATTCTAAATCTCTAACTCAAAAATGAATATCTGCTTTCTTTTCTTTTTTCTCGATCATCATAATTATCGTTAAGCTGTTTCAGATTAACTTGGTGGTATGTCAGATTGTCTCGTTGATGCTCGCTTACTTACACTATAGCATCTTCAGTGCAACTAAAGTTTCACGAATGACACGTATTGCCTTTCCTGCTATTTGTGGATTATTGTTTTGTTATTTTTGTTACGGCAAGTGCGTTCCTATCATGTTTACCTTAATATTATAGAAAATTAGAATACTAATAAAACTTTTGATTTTTAGTGGACTTTTTGTGCATCGAAACCTACTTTGTATTTTAACTAACTTAACTTTCCATTTGAACTTTGAAACTAGTAAATACCACATATTCTGCTATTATGTATTTTTTACTTAGTTTCATAGTGCTCAATAGATTATCAGAGGAACACGTCTCTTACTATTAGCAGAACTGTAGATTACGGAGAGATGTGAATCATTCAAGTCAGCAATCCGGTTGCTTCGTCTAATCCATTGCTGGTAGGCTGTCGCTGATTCATCAATTGAAAGAAATGATTATTCTCTTTCAAATTAGTCTGTGGCTATCATCAAATTTGAGCTACTTTAGGAATGAAGGTTAGTTGTCCAAGGACATGATTGCCTCTTTCCAGTTCAAAATTCCGAGTGCTAAGTGATTGAATAATTATATGTTTTCAGTGCAATGAAACATTTGGTATTATTGGTTGGTCTGTCATATGCTATTATGCATTCTTCTCCTCCGGAAATTGTGCATAAGTAGGTTTATTTGTCATAAGTAAGGATAGTGGTATGACTGATTCAGTGTCAGTCACTTATGTAATGAAAAAATTTTTAGAAAAGACCGCGCTATAAGCGATTGAGACTGGATTCTTCATACTTTTATCCTAACTTATAACCAGTAAAAATCACATAATACGTCTCGACATATCATGTGATTGAACTTTGACATATCTCTTTTTATATGTAAAACTGCAAAAAGCTTCAGCGGAGGGATACCATAAGAAAAACGAAGTTTTTTTAATCTGGGTTAGTCATATGAAATTTAGGTTCATATGCAGACCGTTTAAATAAGCGATCTTTTTTATATTCCATTTTTAGATGTGTATTTTTATTTTCTATGGGGTATCTCGTTTTCATACATTGGTATCGGTGGTATATACTAACAGCACCCGCTATTGATATTACGTGTCCTTTGATGGCAAGTTTCTTTTTCATCTTTCTTTTTTCTACTTCTCCGCAATTTATCAATCACTAACTATGATTATCTTTAGTAGCATGTATTATTCTAGCAAATAAGAGCACTTTATTTCTACTATTTTATCATCGCTTAAATCATAAATCTATTATCTAGCTTTGGTCTTATTTTTTTATTTTATTAATCAGCTCTTGTCGACTTAGTTAAATTTTTAAACGATGTTTCTTTTTATACCTGTATCCTCTTCATAGTAAGTAGTTCTTATCCTTTATATATATGATGTTCACACTTTAGAAGGTTTTTCTTAAAAAGTTGTTATAGATTTTTCTTCTAGAATAATGTTTAGGATTGTTTTATACATTCAATGGAAGTTTAGTGGCAAATGATTTCGAGGAACACGGTGTAATACTTCTCATTTTTTCTTTCTTTTTTTTTTTTTTTTTAGATTATGGTTCAAAAAGTGACAATGCTTGCGTTTTCATTACATGATGGTAAAGTGAAAAAAATTGATGAGCTAAATGAAATACAAAAGAGAGAAGCCATCAAGTAAGTAACTCCTTTAGATTTTACTATGTTCTAACCTAGCCTATTCTTTTGATTTTCCAATGCTATTGGATCTTATCTTATTAAAAATTAACACCTACAAGTTAAAAGTCGGATTAAAGATCAGTTTGTTAATAATGACACATTAATAATAATAATAAATAATGACAATAATAATAATTAATAATAAATAATAATAATAATAGTAACGATAAATAATGCAACAGTGAGATATTGAGTCCGCATTCTTCAATACTGTTAAAGTGAATTTCAGATCAGTACCTGATATATTGAGCTTTCTGAGTTATATGTTTCATTTTCAAGCAGTATTAACAGGACCAGCTTGCTTTTACACCGACTATATGGCATGGATTAATGGAACAGCGGCTATTGGTAAGGATGGGAAGGTTAGTAATGTTTAACTTTATTTTATGTTGAAAGTGGTAATGTCGATCATTCAATATATGCTAAGGTCAGAAATATTCAGAAAAATAAGTCTTGAATACTTGGTATCCATCTAGTAATTTATTTTAGATGAAAATATAATCACAGAGTGAAATAATGTCTGGAAATGAGAGTTCATTAACAAAAGCTATGTCCTAGTTCCATGCAGTAAAGCGACCTTTCATTGGATTTTTTATTTAACTGACTAAATTTTATTGCATACTGCTGCAATCAAAGAATTTAGAGAAATAACATTTTAGATCAATTTATAACTTCTTAATTAATTTGTAGATTGAGAAGCCATGGCATGTAGTATTAATCAAATTATTGCAAGCAGGGGTGTTTATGTTATTATATGTTTTTCTTGGTGATCGTTTTACTCCTGACATTATCATTGATAAGAAATATATGAATCTGAATTGGATTCAGTGGATATTTGTATTGTACATTGTAATGGCATTTCAACGTGTGCCATATTATGTTGCGTGGACTTTAGGTTAAATTTCTTTGCTACACTTTTTTTTTTCTTATGGTGTTTCTGTATGAATTGTAGGAGTCATGGAGTTTGTCATCAGTTTAATATTATCGCTGTCCTTTATGTTCCTTTACTACAGTCCAATTCCTCTCGTTTGATGAATAATGAAGGCTAAAAAAGAAATTTTTATTATTTTTGCTATTTAAAAATAGCTGTGGAAATTTTCAGCTGATGCAATATTTAATTTAAGTGGATTCGGGTTTAAAGGTTATGATTCAGACGGGAAACCTCAATGGGATTTAGTTTCCAACGTCAAGCCATGGAAAGTGGAGGTATCATTTTGATATTTCTTAGTTGTTGAACTACATATTCGTTGCATTGAGAACTGTTTTTCTATCTAAAAACTAAGCTGTTAATAACTTCCAGACAGCGTTAAATTTCAAAGAAACATTAGAGGCATGGAATTGTTGTACGATGTACTGGCTGCGACGTGTTGCATATGATCGTGTTCCAAAAGGGTATGTATGCTTTTTGTAAATATTCAGGAAAACTTTTCTTTGTTGTGTATTCATCATTGTACACTTTGCTAAAGTTTTTCAGGTATCGAACTTTATCGACGTATTTATTATCAGCAGTTTGGCATGGCTTCTTTTTGGGTTACTATGTCACTTTCTTGACTGGAGCTCTGTTCACTGTTTCTGCACGAACGGTATTTTCACATTTTAATTTCATGTTAGCATGCATAAAATTCAAGTTAAACTTATGATAATATGATTACTGTTATAGATTAAACAGCAAAACTTAGTTTGAAAAAGTGGATGGACTGAAGAAAAATATTTATTGGAGTTTTATACATGGGCCAGTATTCCATGTATTCAATGTTTTTCTTCTTTAAATTCAGATACGTCGTTGTTTACGTTGGCGTTTCCAAAGAAATGAATTTCTGCGACGTTTATATGACTTGCTTACGTTTGCTATCACAAAGATCACTTTATCTTATACAACATATCCATTTGTCATGTTGCATCTTGGACCCGGTCTATACTTTTACAGGTATTGAAGGATTTTGACTTCAAAAAATTTTTTTTTCAACACACTGCATGGTTCTTGCTTTGAAATTTGCTCACTGTGAGTTTGTTCCCTAGGGAGCTCTTTCGTTACTTCATATCTCAGTGCATTAAAACCTTTGTTTTATAAGCTTTTGTGAGTAAACAACAGTTATGGTTGTTATCCAAACTAATTGATTTTACACTATTTGATTTATTAATCTATTTCATCAATCGGTTTTTAGTAGGATACATTAAATAATTATCGTGAGGGATGGAATAAGAAGAAATTTTTGAAGTAATCTTTAATCAGTGAATTTATAGTTTTCAAACGTTCGTATTTCGCTTCTCTCAAATTGACAGTGATTATCATTCCTACATTTGTGGGATGGAACAGCTTATCATTTCACAATTATTTTTTTTACAAAGAAGCTGATTTTTTTTATAGGCAGATGTATTTTTTTCTGCACTTCACTGCACTTTTTGCTCTATTTATCTTGCCTCGAATATTACCTCCAGAATTGAAATCAATTCAAACTGAAAATGTTGACGATATGAAGAAATCATCGTGATTAGATCTGTCATGCACTCATTATGCACCTTCCTCCGTCGTATCTTTTATGGATGTAACACATTTAATATATCTGTTTAAATTGTGTTTAAATTGGAGTATTAAGCAGTAGTACTATATTAAAAATATAAACTTTGGTTTTTGCACTACTTTTATTTCACTGTTACAACTTAATTTTTGCTGTAGTTCATTATATATTGCAGTGGTTATTTTATCCATAATTCAGTTGAATTTTCATATTCATATTTTCAAAAACACTTTATCGTTATTGTCATTCCAATTATCATTTTCTATTGATTAGTGGTTTTTGAGTAGAAAATTCCTTTCAATTTTTAAAATGTATGTTTATTTGTGCTTGGTAAATTTCTCTTTTTCATTTCAGATCTCTGTATTCTCAGTATTTCGTTTAGAGTGATAATGCATTTACGGTATTTGTCAACGAAATCTGAAATCATTTTTCTCTTTTCAAATTTAATACACCTCTGTCATTTTTATAGGTTGTAATATGCTTAGATTTACCACGTAGAGTCCGAGTGTATCAGTTTGCAACTGGTTGCAGGAAGAATTGCATAGATTAAGTACTGTAATGAATCGAGCGGTACTTACCCCTTCTAAATATTTGTAAAAAGTCTGATTTATGGCGAAAAACTGTCAGGAAGCTATGTTGGGATTCGTTTCGTTTTGAAAGTCGGTGTTGTGTTTTCTTAGAGATTACTATTAGAGATAAATGTAAACTATTTTCTCGATCGTCTTTCGTGAGACTTTGAAGTTCCAGTATTAATCTTTCTATTGCATATACTCGAGATTTTAGAAGGCTTGAAAAGAGACGAGATGTTACTGCTCAATATCAATACCATTAAGTTCCTTTGCCATATTTCATTTCACCGTTCAAAAAGACTACAAAGTTTTATCTTTCCATTGTTTATCTACTGTGTTCGCTTCTACAATATGATACGTGAAGACCAGTTTGCTATTTTGTTTCTTTTTTATTTTATTTTGTAAGATTGATTTTGTGTCTGAAAATTCTTCGTGATTTTTGCAAGTATCACTTTTTAAATTTTACAAGCATGTATTGTTTCATTATGATCTTTGAGCAATATATAGCTCAAGTGATAATGAGCATATCTTCATTATTTTCTCGACTGGTGAAAGATTTGTCAAATGGTATTATTGCCGTAAATATAAAAATTAAACAGAGTAAAGTAAGAAATCGATGAAAACAAAAGAAACAATACCAACATATCGTTAGTGTTGTTCAATTTCTTATATATTCGTAAGATATTGCCTCGGCTTTGTATACTCACTACCTTAATTGCACAATGAATTCCATAATTAGGTGTCTCTTACTGAATTTAGAAAAAATATTAAAGATTTAATAAGCTTCTTTTTTTTTTTTTTTTTTTGTGTGTGTGTGTGTGTGTGTGGATCCCTTATACAAATAGTGAGCACGATTTGCTTCCAAGCTTAGAAGAAGCGATGCAAAAATGATTCATATGAAATTCAAATAAACATTATGTCATAATGCTTATTTAGTGAAAGGAAAACTTCATATAAAACTACCGCATTAAAAATCATGAAAATGAATTAGTGAGTAATGATTCAACGAGTTGTACACTTCTTAACATTTTCGTCTTAGCGTAAAATACATATTGTCCGAAAATACATAATTTTTTAGTCTGACGCTATATTGAAAGCTGCGGTACAAAGACCTTTAATTGAAGAGGAATACTACTTTTTAAAACCTCTATGTGATACGTTTGATGAAATTCATTGCGAAATGAATGCAGGAGAAAACAGTGCATTACGAATTTCTGCCGAAGAGGTAATCTTACACAAAAGTTTAAATCTTTTTAATAAATATATATATCAGAGAGACTGTTTTTGATTTCTTTATTATATGGAATATTTTTCACAGAAAACCGGCAAAATCTTCGCGAACTTTTCTATACTTAATTCATTACAGTTTGACTTTATTGCTACCATTTTATTTTTTTCGTAGATTTTCCAACATGTTTATGGATTGGTCTCTCCTCTCGATTGCATGGATGAAATAAAATTATCTCTTTTTGAATTATCCTTATCAATGTTATTAGTTGTGAAAACTTTGCAAGATAATGATACGACAGTAACTGAAGAAGAGATTGAAAATATAGCAGAACATGTCACAAACGCCGATCAAGTAAGATTTTTTTTTTATTTTAGTGCCGAATTTAGTGAAAATTTTAAATTAGACAAAAAAATCGAGACAAAAATTAAGTTCTTACTAGGTAAAGTGAGAATACATTCTATTATTATACTTTTTCATAGAACTTGTAATGCTGAAGCTCTTACTAATTTAATTAGAATATTGATTTGTTTGATAATTTCTCAGAAGTTAGCAATTCTACTTTCATACTAGCAATAAAAAATCTGAGAAAAATCAATAAAAAATTTGAGAAAAAAAAATTTGTTGAAAAAATTTGTCTTATGTTACTACTTTAGATACAAGCAAACTATAAATCAATTTCAGCTGTGCAAAGCTCTTTGTAAACACCCAGATAGACTGATAAGGCTTGGAATAATATCTGAGCAGATGTCACAGTTGCTGAAAAGATCCATTTTATGGATGGTAAAAAGAGGTAAACTCGGGCATATCATTTCCTGGAAATATGTTAAATATTTCGAATTCTATGATGAATCCAATATTAACGAAATTATCAGTATTGCATCGGTGGAAATGGTTAGTATTATTCTCTATTCAATTAACTATCTTATGATATTAATTCGTTGAACGAACTGTTAAAGCAAACTTTGTGTAGTATCAGAGTTTGGTTCTTTATCAGTTCAGCATACCCCAGCCAATAACAATGTTCTAAGATGTCTAATAATTATTTATTTTAGTTGAAAAATTTGCTACACTCATCTTCGCACGATCTTCAACCATCGAAAAAATTTGCATTATATTTTGCATTGGCAAAACATCAAAATGAAGAAAAGAGAAAACTATTATTTGCTGTACTTAAAGATGTACTGGAAATAGTAGTAGATATTGCTGGAAGAGACTATCTGACAGCTATTGATTTTCTGAGGCATATTCTTCCGGTAGGTTTTTTTACAGGCTGCTACACTTTACTATCTCCCTCTCTGCTTACTTTTTTATGTGATCCAAATAATGTAGTTTATCAAATTTATTCTGATTTGATCAAATGCTCGACTATAAATGGGTTAATATCGATCTCATCTACTTTTCATGTAATTTCATTATTTGTCCTATCTGTTATATGCAACAGATTGTATGAATTTAATTAAAAGTTTGAACTTCTAACACTTTCTAGGTCGCCACTGGTAGTGCATATGAGAGAGATTTTGTGTCATTTGCTTTAGCAATTCTTGCAGTGAACTGTGAATCGTTATCCTCAAATTTTGTAGCGCTACGCAAAACTCTTTCTCTTCTTCTGGTAAGCATTATAATTAATTGTGTAGTTAACCGTATATATTCATTGGGATTAATTGTGTAGTTAACCGTATATATATATTCTTCAAAGAAGACTTTTTAAATTTAAAATATACATTTCTGCATAGAGCTATTAGCTATAAACTATACAGGAACAGTTTGCTAGAAACAGGTTTGTTACGAATTGTATGTATGTTTACATTTATGATGAAACAAAAGCATTAAGCAAAGAGCAATTTTCGTATTTCTCATTAAATGACATTCATTTATTACTGTTACTAATGAAGGGACGAAATGATGGAGGTAAATTAAGGACAAGAAAGGGATAGATGAACGGGAAGGTGGAACAGTATCGAATTTTACCCACTGAAAAGTCATTCTAATTAATGCAGAAATATAATGTTTGAGTTTTTAGAGATACATTTAAAAAATTTTTAATCAGAAAATTGCTCTGATCGGAAAATGGTAGGAGTCTTTTTTTTATGTTAGGAAAATAAAGAAAATAATTACGGAATAATTTGAATGGTACGCTTTGCAATTATCAACAAACAACTGTCGTTTAATTCTCAGCGATTCTTCAACTTATGAATAACTTCTTGAGTGCGCTATATTACGGGCCTAACAAAATAATGTTATGACTTTTTAACATTAATTTTAGTTCATAAAAACTTATATGCGACAAACAGGTGTGACCGCGTTTTATTCGTTTGAATTGGACCTTGTTAACAACTGAATTTTATGACTTTTGCTAAGTGATTTCTTGAATAACAATTCAACTACTTTCCTTACTTTTTACCTTAAATTAAAGTGAAATGCAATGTATTTCAAGATTCTGAGAGGATTGTTTTCTTTATTGCAACCTTATTCGGTCGTTTTAGGGCAAATTTCTGAAACAATTTTAAAAATGCAATGTGAGCCATAACTGTACTACAAAAAATGTAACAAGGTAAAAGATTTTCATTTTTAATTCACATAATATAGATTTGAGCATTGGATTGATTTATCTTCGAGTACCGTCCTCGAAAAAAACACCACCGTCGATGGCGCAGTATTTCGGGCAGATACCTTTTTCACCGGGAGCACCAGGTTCTCCTGGTTCTCCTGGTGCTCCAGGTTGGCCATCGGCACCGGGTTGTCCGGGCGGTCCTGGCGGTCCTTTCGGTCCAGCTGGTCCCGGCGGTCCATCGGCACCTGGTTGTCCCGGTGGGCCTTGTGGCCCAGGTGGTCCTATATCGCCTGAAATATTTGTGTAAGTTTCAAGATTTCATTCCACACATTTGATAAACCATAATTCCCTTCACTATGGCTGCACTAATACTTTTTTTCTACAATTTTAAATCGCAGAATTTACCTGGTGGTCCAGGTTCTCCTGGAATGATGCCTTCGTTTGGCGCATCCTCTCCTGGTGGACCCGGTGGTCCTTGTGGCCCAGGTTCTCCAGGCAGTCCTGGTGGTCCTTTTGGCCCTGCTGGACCCGGTGCTCCGGCTCCACCTCCCAGGCCTGGTGCTCCGTCTGGTCCTGCATCTCCAGGTGGTCCTGGTGGTCCAGGAGGCCCTGGTGGACCAGGTGGACATGGCTGACACGGTGGTGGTGTAACTGGTTCACACGGTTGGCTTGGTGGTCTTCCTGGATTTCCAGGCATTCCTGGTATACCGGGCCTACAATGAATGGTAGTTGAAGTCAAATTCGAGTCAAATCGAATAATATTTAGTTGCAGAAAAAAAAAAAAAAAAACGAACTTAATAGATAAATTCTAAGTTACCTTCCAGGTTTTCCAGGTCTACCTGGTGTGCCTTTTGGGCCTGGTGGACCTGGTAAGCAGCAACTTTCGCAGCCAGAAGCTCCTTCTTGAGTAGCTCTTTCACCAGCGTTTACACCTATACTAGAGCTGTACCCTGCTTGCCTAGCAGTACGATTTTTATTAATCGGCATTTGCTTCAAATGACCCACTTCCATCCAAATATCCTTTGCCGAGCCCTACAAATTAATAACTACTAGTAATGATGTGCATAATATCAGGCCAAGAAGTTTGTCAACAAATCATACAAACTTTGTAATGCAAGCCATTTTACTTTTTGTTTCAAGTTCTTCTACCTTATCACCAAACTTGTCTTATTATTATTCCTGAGAAAGAAATAATTCTATTAGCTATAAAACGATATAATCCAAACAATCATAAAATATTAGGTTAGTTTTTCGCTAGTAAATTTACTGAAAATGACAAATAGCTCACATACGGCATCTTCATAAATTAAACATACTTCATTCTTAATAAAAATACAAATTTATTCATCTCTGAAATTCCATCTCTGAAAAGGAAATAAATTATTTGACATGAGTTTCTTCTCCTTTATTCTCTCTCTCTTCTCTCCGATATACTTTCTTATCCATTAACTTTTTAATTCCTCAAACCCTGATAGCCTACTTCAAGCTAAATTTATTGTAGAAGTGTAACCAATCAGGTGAAGCATCAGACACACAGAAATATTTGCTATTTCATAAAAAATTGCTTATTACTCAAGTACATTCTCCGTAATCAGTACCCATCAAATAAACTTTGTTGATATTTTGTCGTATTGTGTTGTTGTTGTTTTCTTCTTTTTAAGAGATGTTATTTCAGAAGAAATATTTGATTCTACCATATTTTTAAAAACAAAATTTGTTCGTCGAAAAACACTTACTATCTACATCATTAATAATGATGACAGCAAAATTAAAAAATAAGATAATTGTTGATAATAATCGATGTAAATTCTATGATAACGCAATTTTTTAGCGTCTACAATTATTCTTTTGAAAGAGTTTATTCATATTTTCTTGTCCTATATGAAATATATTAGAGATGCTCAAATCAAAATATTCTATACATGTTTCATCATGCTTCATCAAATAATTTTCTGCGGTTTTCTGCAAAAATATTGCTATTACAAAGATCGTTGATTTTTTGTTCAACAGATCAAAATGTTACATATAATGTTAAAATTAATGCTTTGATTATAAAAGTAGAAATAATCAACAATCGACGAAGCTAAAAATTAGTCAAATTGTGAATAAGCTTCTGCACTCTTCCAAGTACCAAACTAATTCTCGTACTTCTGTTAATAGGATGCTAATTATTTGTTATTATATGCTAAGCTAACTTTTAATGCTCTAATCTAATATTAATTATTTATTAATTACTTATCAAATGTAATGTGCAGCATAAATTTTTATTATCTCAGATATGCTTACCTTGCAGTAATTAATTTCGGAACGCATTTGTCGTCGAACATGATAGACATAATTGTATACCATTGGTAATGTTACGCATACTGATAGTACAGCAACAGTAGAAAATGTTACCGCAGCATAAGAGACAAATTTGTAAGCTTTTATACGATTATCGAGATCCATTCTCGATTATCGAGATCCAATAGTTAATCAGATTAGCAAAATTCTTCTCTTGATTTACTATTATTACTACTACTATTACTACTAACTACTACTATTGATGTTGTTGCTGCTACACGTAATGACACTGAATGACATTCATACAATCTTGTCAACTATTTATAGAGAATTTTTTTCTTTTAATGTTGTGATACGTCGGTTTCTGACAGGATCGTATAAAACGGAACAAAGGTGAAGAACTGGGCGGAGTTGCAATACAGGTTTATTGCGCCTTAAAGAGAAGGACATTTATTTATGTTTTTTTTTATATGTATATATATCTTCTATTAGTAAAGAAAAAAGTTCTTTTTTTCAAATGTTTTTGTTTCCTATATTTTTTCTTTCCTTTCCTGCTTTTTGCAGAGAAATAAAAATTTTACAAAGCATTGAATAGGTTCTCTGCGAACGCATCACAAACCATATAACGTTAATAGGAAGAAAGGGAAAAGATGTTGTCAGCAAAAAATACAAATGTAATTTTACGGTTTTATTCATTCTTCTTCTTTCATTATTAAAATTTGTTAAGTTTTTTTTTTTTTTTTTTTTCATCATATTTAATTTACGTAATTGAAATCTAGCACTTCAGTTTCTTTACTAATTTAAATTAGTGTCTTTTTTTATCGATTAATATAAGAGGTCAAATTTGAACACTAATACTTTAAACTTTAAAAAATATTTCTTCCTTTTAGCTTTCTGTTGTGGTTAATATTTAGCTAATGAATTTTAAATTAAGCAAAACATGCATTTGCTCATTGTAAAGCACTTTTCATCACTTATTATTACCTTAATATTATCACGCAGCATTTCAAATGAAATTAATTTTTGAAGCAATCAAACAAATTTTTAAACTATTTTTTTTTGTCAACGAATCTAAATTTTAAGCTATCATTGAAAAAGCCGTAGAAATATGGAATTTTTTTTTGTAAAATCAATAATTCAAATGAACCCATTCGAAGGCGAATTTAATTGAAAAGAAGGTGATAATTACCTTACAACAGAATGATAATTATGACTATAATTCTTTTCATCTGTTTGATTATACATTGTGATGCGGAACGTTCAGGGAATTTATCATGAGAGGAACAATTTAAATTACAAAATTATATTATTTTGTTATTTTTTCTTAAAAATATATCTGTTTCATGCCTTCCCATTTCTTTTCTACAAATTATAAATAAAATTCAACAATTCATTTCGGATAGCTACTTCTAATTTCATAAAAACGGCAAGAAGTTTTTAGAAATCTTTTAAGTATTTTACAAAATTTTGTAACTGAATTTTAGAATATGTTAATAACCCAAAAATTAACAAAATTCAAAAAGTTACTTTAAATTTCTTACTTTATCGTTTTATCGTCAAGAATGCATTAATTTGAATATTTCTATTTTTTTGTCCATTTATGATTTCTATTACTTTTTGCTTCCCGCATTTCGGATAAGCACTATATTTGAGAAGTGGACAATTGCGCAGCATTTGCGTAAGCTCCATCATTCTGTCTTGGAACAGATTTCAATTGTTGAATGATTTTCAAGAAAACTAATTCTTTTTTTTTTTTCTATTGCCAGATTTTTTCATAGAAAACATTTCCTCGCATTCGATTTATTTATTTATTTTTTCATTTATTGTTATCCAAAAGAAACGAAAAATTGCAACAATTAGAAAATATTACTAATAACTATATGAATCTGTAAATAAACTTTGAACATTTATTTGCTGAAATATATTTTCAAATTTCTTCACTTTTACCTCAGTTGTGTTTTAGTATAGGCCATAAAGTTCAATCTTCTGAAACATAAAATAAGTAGTATTTAGTGATTTGTAAAACTGTTATTAAGGCTGTTTGAAATATCAAATGATTTACAAATTTCGAACAATTTTTAAAAGTTTTAAATGTGCGGAAAACATGTCCCAATAATTCACCAACATCATTTCATGACATATACACACATACCACATACACAATATCCGTAATATTGGCTGTAACTTCGTAAATTAGGGCAAAATGTTGAAACTTAGAAATATTGATTATTGAATAAAGAAAAATCAGTCAAAGTGCAATTTATGGAAGAAATTTGTTTTGAATTTTTTTAGGATATAAATTTTGGAAAAAAACTTCGCAATATGAATAGATATTTTTTATGCCATGCCAAATAAATATTGTCAACAAAACAGCTCAACACCGTTCGTTTCAAATTACTATTATCTACCGTAATAGAAATGACTACAAAAAAAAAAAAAAGAAACGTTTATTTCATTAATCATTAATTTTACATTGCAATTTTTGCAAAAATCAAATTTCATTTATTCTTATTGTTAATTTTCTAAGTATGTCTGTAAATTACAATTAAGTCTTAACTTTGCGTCGCAATAGCAAAATGTTACATTTAACTTTGCAAATTTTGCTTCAAAAAATTTAACCCGATAATCTTTTGGAATTTTATTATTTTGTAATTCAAATTATACCACTCTATTTACAATTTTTTGTTTTACAATGCAATATAATGGCCATTCTCAAAATATAATAATTTTCCACTTTACAAATTTAGGAAGGATACGTCATACACAGTTATTACTTTTCGTTTTTTAACTTACACTCTTCTTTGATGTTTAATGTTCTTCTATTACAATAAAATAAATAAAAAAAAGCAAACTTCTCACAATATTACAACTTTAGACAGTACACTCATTTGTCGTGTTGTACTGATATTACTATCGAAATTGTTTAGAGTTTGTCAGGTGACTTCTGTTTTTATTTAACAAAAATTCAAAAATCAAGAAAAAAGTTTAAAAATTTTCATGAAGAGTTTTTAAAACATTAAATCTACTTATTGCGGCCTTTTCTCTTATTTTTGTTTTTTTTTTTTTTTTTTTGGTGATTTTTATGAGTATTTGAGAGAACGATGTTTTTGATGCAATTGTATAAACTCTTTTCATTAACAAAGTGTTTTAAATAAAGTTTTTGAAATTGGATGTTCGAGTACCGAAACAATGTCTAATCTCAATTAGTCAATACGAAGTACAAAAAGTGTGAATGATAGCAAAATATAAAAAAGGGACTATTACTATTAATGTTGCACTTCATTTCATACTTCAAAAATGATAATTTTAAATATATTTCTCCTTTATTACGATTCTTAAACTCGAGATGTATTGCTGCTTTTAGTGCAAAAATCATTTCATAAGATGTCTGATATATTGAGTGATTTTTTTGAGAAACTTTTTTCTACTATAAATCAAAATTGCATTCTTTGAGATATGGAATTATAATAATCTAAGAGATTTATAAATTATTATATTAAATTCTATCCAATATTTTCCGAAAAGTTCAATATGACAAATTGTTTTCCTCCAGTTATCCTTGTCTGAATTATTTGTATTCAGTAATCATTTGACACTATTGTGCCGAAAAAAACCGGAACAATTTTATAATATAAATATATTGCTATAACAAAGATATTTCGAAATGGTTTAAGTAAGAATGTAAATATTTGAAGAAAAGATAGGAAATCATAAATGTAACTTGAAAAGTTATAAATAATATAAAGAATCTCTATCATTTTTTCTCTTAATTTTGATTGAAATGGAGTACTATATGCTTTAATCAAATCCTTAATCTCAAACGATACCTGGCAATTAATTCTAATATCGATATTCTCTGATTGTTGTTCTATAACATCTACAAAGGATAAATCTTTTTGTAATTATTTGTCTATTTTCAAACAACACAAAAAAGTATTCTCTCAAGTTATTGGTACAAAAATTTAATTACAAATGTTTTCACTTTTTTTTTCTCCATTATACAACCTCAATTATTTTCACGTTAAAATAAAAAAAAAAAAAAAAAAAAAAAAAGTTTATTATGCAATAAACATCTAAAGCTCTGTACGCAAATCACAAGTGATACATTAAAGTTTCTTCTTTTCAAATTGCTCGAATTACTGTTATTTAGGAGATTTAAACTAAACTTTTTTTGTACTTGGTATTGATAATTACTTAACAATAAAAAAGAAAAAGTGGAACTGGTTTTTTCCTCAGCGATAATTTTCCCTTCCTCTTTAAAAAACAAAAACCAGAATTTTTATAGGGAGCAAGAAGTACAGACGAACGTCTTCTCATTACTGGTCTTCAACAAATCAGAGTGATTTGTGAATAAATAGGTAAATAGAAATGGTTTGTTTCCACGTACGGCGCAGGTGTTGTTACAATAATTTAATTGCGAAATTCAATAATACAATGAATGATTTGATATTATTCTCTTTGTGAAGAAAGAAAAAGATTGAGTGAATTAGTAATTAAAAAATGTTTGTTCTCTTTCTCCATAGATTCATGATTCAAATTACTATGTCATTGCAATAATGAGAAAAAAAAAAAGGAAGACAAAGTTAAGGAGAAAAAGTACGGAAAACTGATCGACCCATTTCCATGATTTGCATATCTATTATCTAATTTATCGAAAAATCAAGATGAAAGAGATACAAAAATTTCTTATTAGAAAAGAAAATTCAAATGTTTTAGAGTTTCTTTTCTTTTTGATTCTTTCTATTTTTATCAAAACTAACGACTTATGCTTTTTTTAAAATAGTTATTCAGCAAATATCATCAACAAAACCGCTTGTAGTGTGCGTTATAATTCAAAAATTATTTAAATTAAACATTTCAACTCACCAAATTCCTTAAATATTTTGGATTAGAGGAATCTAAACTGCGAGTTACAAAACATAACCAAATATTTTTCATAGTCAGTCATGAACTATATTAAGACAACTGCTGAACTGAATAAGTGCAAATCAAAAATCTATTTTTTCAGGAGGAAACCGTTCATTTTAATTGATAATTTCAAACATTATCAGACCTTATCTAATATTTTAGCTTACAGAATGTTGAAAAAAAAAATGGATAAGCCTTTTGAAAGAAAACCAGAATTATCAAAATTCCAAGAGAGTGTTTTTATTTTAAAACTTTTC